GCTTGTGCCAGCACACAGGACATTGGAGGATGTCCACTGTTTGCAAAGGCAATCTTAATATTCAGATGGGTTAAGTTGTTAAAAGTCGTGGCCATTAGGGCAGCTTCATCAGCCTCCACTCATTCAGCAGTTGAAGTCATTTTAAAACGTTGTGCAGCTGATAGAAAGAAGGGGTGAAAGTGGCTCTGTGGGTTTGAGGTTAAGGTCATTTCTTTAAATACTCCTTTTAGATATGCTGGTATAAATAGGAAATCCTGTGTTAATAATATCAGAATTATGAGTTGATGAAATTTTACTTGTTCGTCTTCCTGCTTTAAAAAATATATTATAATATATTATTGCGGTGCGTGCGTTTGCCCCTATCAAATTTATTTTTCTTGAGCGGCAGTCCCCTGTCAGGTTCATGCATCAGTGAACATGTTGTTCTGCCTGAGCTACTGAATAACGGAAGATTTTGTCTGGACCGCATTGCTGTAGTTGCTCACTCACAGCATCTCCAGTGCAACAGGCAGAACAGTTCAGTATGAGAGAGACTGAGTAAGTGATGAGGAGAGAGAGGAGGATATGAAAGGCAGACCTTTTAATTATCCCAGACTGAGTTTCATTACGTCTTTACTGACTGAAAGCGAGAGGCTTAATGCTCCCCAGAGCTGGCCTTTAAAATGGAGTGAGCTGGAAAGAGAGAATCCCTGGAGACTGTTCACTTAACACTGAATGCAGCTGCCTCAAAGACCACAGGCAAAAATCCATTCTTCCTCACTTACTGTATGTTTAACAATAAAGCCAGTGCTGTAGTAAAATGTAGTAAAATCTTTAACTGTATTCATTCAGTGTATTCCTTCTGTCTTTTTCTCATACAGAAAATGCCTGTGTTGGATTTGCCATCTCTCTCTTGATGCTCACTATCAGTGCCATGATGGTGTACGGAGCTATTACTGTAAGTGTGCACTGTAAATAATATTTTTTTTCTTTTTAAATCTCTTTGACAGCGTGTAATATATTTAAAGTGTTGTCGTGTTTTTTTTGTTTTGTTTTGTTTTTTTAATGCAAAAATGTAATCCCAAATGTCGTGTTTAAAAGTGTGAAAGAAAAAGAAGCAGGATAAGAGGTAACCAAAGGAGAAAAACATGCCAAATAGCCCTGATGTCATGGGGCTGAAGCACACAATACTGTGATCTTATTGCCTGTCGTCTTTACCTCACAGGCTTGCCTGATGGCATCAAGACTGACAGGTTTGATAGCGTTTTGACGTGGACCTGTATTTAGCTGCTAGTATGGATGACTGCACAGTTAAAAGTATGATACCCATCTGCAGGCTGGGTATACTGTGCATGCTGATTACTGTGCAGGTAGAAACCCAGAGACAAATGTGGCAGATACCCTTTTCCACTGTAGTATACCAGGTACCCCTTTTAGATTCCACCCTCCCCATTGTAATAAGTATTTAATTATAGTGTACCAAATCCAAATTCCTACTTAATGTTAGCAGTGAAGAAGATTTTTGTCAGAACCTGAGTACACTGTGCTTTGGTAGAAAGAAAATGTATCAGAAAGGACTGTTTTGCTGATTTAAACCTTCTCTGCATATATTTATGATAATGCCTGTTTATATCCATGGGTGCTTATTGTTAGCTGTTTGTTTACCTCAAAGCACATCTGATATTTCAATCTGAGCAATCTGAGCAAAATCTCAGAATCGTTACGTTTAGAACTTGGAAGAAGACTTCTTAAGAAATGAGTAGTGCACCCACAGCTGTAAGATTTGTAGATCTAAATAACATTAATATGTTTAGGGTTTATCTTAAGTAAGACAAGTGTTTAGAGATAAGGTTTGAATCTGCACTATAGTTCTTCCAAAATTATAAAAGATCTGCCCAAGTGATTCATTCTTTTAATCATCTTTCTTTCTTTCTTTCTTTTTTTTTTCTTTCTTTTTTTTTTTTAGCACCGTGAGGGCTGGCTCATCCCATTTTTCTGCTACCAGCTGTTTGACTTTGCTCTGAGCTGCCTGGTGGCCATCAGTTCTCTCACGTACCTACCCAGGATCAGAGACTACCTGGACCAGCTGGTCAGTTCAAAGTCCGATGTTATTTTTCACAATATCTCAATCTGACTACACCCTTTCCATGACAGTATCTTTACAACTTCTCACTTGGCCCTTATCCAGTATCGCCCTCTTTGCTCTCTCTAAAGATTTAGTGATTCACACCATGCCCAGCTGGAAACTGAGATTTCGGACACTTATTAGTCAACATTTTCCATAAGTGCTGTTGCATAAATGCAAAAGTTGTTAAGGAGGTAGTGTACTTTTGTGTCACACTGGAAGTCTCATGGACACTACAGCGTATAAATGTAACTGGCTCTCTTCCACAGTCTGTCTTTTAACCTGTCTTCCTCCCATCACCCCCAACCGGTCGCGGCAGATGGCTGTCGCTCCATGAGGGGAGGGAGTTTTCCTCCCCACTGTCGCCAAGTGCCTCTTCAAAGAGCGTTGTTCGATTTTCTCTCCATTATTGTAGCGTCTTTACCTTACCATATAAAGTGTCTTGAGGCATCTGTTTTTGTGATTTGGTGCTATATAAATAAAACTGAGTAAATGTGCACATTTATACATCAAACACTCAATTAGTAAACAGTCAGTATTTATAGGGAGTCCTTTCAGATGCAGCCATGACCAATGAAGCAACAGTCAACAGTCGCCATATCCACAACCTAAGCTTTTCATGCTTCTAACAATAATAAGAGAGAGAATTCTGATTTTACCATACGATTTATCTCTACACGTACAGAGATTATTTCCTAGAGGGAAAAAAATGTAAGAAAACAGATGAGCTCATTGTTGTTCTTTCAGTAAGGGTGCTTCAGAAGAAAAAAAAGAAAACGATAGTAGTCTTTTTACATTTCGAGTGTGGAAATGCTGACAGTAAAGTGAGTAAGAATCAACATTTTGTCTCCTTTTCTTCCTCAGCCGGATTTCCCATACAAGGATAACCTCCTCTATATGAACTCCAGCTGCCTGCTGCTCGTTGTGCTGGTCTTCTTTGCCTTCCTCATCATCCTCAAGGTGAATCTATCAATTATTCACAGTCAGACACAGTTATATTAGGATGTTTGTTTGGTTTTGGCATATGTGTTCATTTAGGAGGAGGAGACAGGAAGCTGTCGACTGTAACGATACAAATATTTTTCCCTCTGCTTTCCAGGCTTATTTGATCAACTGTGTGTGGAACTGCTACAAGTATATTAACAACAGGAACATGCCAGAAATCGCTGTGTACCCTGCCTTTGAAACCCCTCCCCAGGTATGCAAGCCACCTCAGCACCTATGAACAGAAAGTATTGAGGCACTGGCACCGTGATGCTGTAGTTGAGGCAGCAGGCGACACGGTGTCTCCACACTGAAAGCTGACCTGCTGAGAGGATAGTCTCACTCCAGATATTCTTTACGCCATCTTTAAAGAAACATTTAATATTAGTTATTATTTAGGTTGCACTAAAACATGCTTCTACTATGGTAAAATTAATTCATAACTCAGGCTAAAATCAACAATATAAATGATTTAGTTTGCCGGTTATCTTCTCAGTTATTAGACTGAAAATGTGTCTGTAGACAAACAGAAGTTGCCAGCATTCACATTTAAAAAGCTCCGATTCACTTTGTGCATTTTCCTTTATTTTTAATCGAGTTTCAGAATAATTTCAAACTAATTTTAACTTCACTGATGCTGCTCTGCTCAGAATGTGCTGAATACTGCAGATGGGCCAGAGTTCTGATGTCATCGCAGCTTAATTTCATTTATTGATGTTGAATTCAACAAAGGAACTGAGAGTCACAGAACATGACTCTCAGTTCCTTTTTTCAGAGACATGCTTGGTTGGGTTTTTGGTTTCATGTTGTCTTTTTTCCCCCTCCCTGTACAATGAGCCCTCACTACTCTTTAAATGTTTCTCTCTCTTCTTTAGTACATCTTGCCTACTTACGAGATGGCCATGAAGATGCCAGAGAAGGAGCCGCCTCCTCCTTACATGCCAGCCTAAACACCAGCCCTGTTGCCAAAACACACACGCACACACAGCCATCATATGCATTCCTTCTTGCCCTCACCTGATCCCGACCCCTCTGACCTGTTGTGTAAGTGTAAGACCACTGAAGATGTTTAGTTCAACCCTCCCACCTGCCCTCAGCCGCTGTATTTCTATAGTGTCTATAGAGCGTTCTGGAGATGAGAGGAGAAAGGTGGCAAATGAGAGCATGACTGAAAATGAATGAATGTGTTTAAAAAGAGGCACAAGTGTATCCCTGTCCCACCCCCATCTTCTGCCAACATTTTTTTTTTTTGGTGTCTTAGTAAAAGGGATATATGTGAAAGTTAAACTGCTTGAAATGCTCTTATCAATCCAGCACATCCCATTAATAGATTGATATATGAAGTTTAAAAGAAAAACAAACTGACAATCCACTTATTATAGCACTTATTGTTGCATTGTGTTACAGTTTTCCCCTCAATCATTAAGAAGTAAATGATTCTATCTCAGTCTTGAATGGAGTCTGTAGCATTTTTTGTCTGTTATTTATTTAGCTTCACTGTAATTAAGTTTTACCCCCACCTTAGACATCATCACCACTCTCTGCTGCCCCTATGTGTTGGCTAAGGTAGTAAACTGTGTTCCAGCTAAGATAAGCGTGTGGGGGCAGAGGGCACTGATGGTGGATCATTTTCTCTGCTTTTTCTTTTTAACTTTTACCTGGTACCTGTAGAAAACGGCTAGTCTTGTGAAAATTAGTTGTTGCATGCTTATCGGCAAACCTTACCCTCGTTCCTATATTGGTCATATGATTTATCCTAGTAGAAATACATTTGACTTCAATAAACCTTTCAAAACTATTACATCTTAGTTCTTGTCTTTTTTTTTCTCATCATAAATAAACTGAAGGAAAATCAAGAGATATTAAAAAGAAGGAGCTCTCGCTACAAGTCTTCAAATAGCGTTAAGGACAAAAAAAAAAACAACCACATGGTCTCATAGACTCATATGCTGGTGATTGATAATACTCATACGCCATCTAGTGTCAGCAGGTAGTAATACAGTGTTTAGGGACGACCTCAACCCAGCCCTTATTTGTTTTTGTTTCCAAGTAGCCAGACTTTCTATTAATTTTTGAAAGTGGTCTTAAACAGTAATTCTTCAGAATTTTTTAAGCTAATGTGTTATTGTCTATAGCTCCACAGGTTTTATAGTAAGTTATTCAAACTCTGGACTTTGTTGGTAGAGTGTATTTCAGACAGCATGTTTAGATCAACAAAATCACATATTTACCACTTTATTGTCCCAAATGTTTTTCATTATGCTAAAACAGGATTTGCATATTTGCAGCACTGTTGCAAAACATTGAAAAAGTAAGAACAAAGAAACATTTTTGGCTCTTCTATACACCTCCTGAAGTTCATGACCCACCTTTTTGGGGCAGACAGTTTGACGTTTCTCACTCAGGTCTCCTCCTGCTCAGTGGCGGTTTGACCCCCTGATCCTCACAGACAAAGTATTCAGAGTGGTCAGACCACAGAAGGCGCTCTGCACACTGAAAGGATGAAGGCTTTTCACTGGATCCTCCTGTATTGCGCTGCACCCCTGCTGTCTGATGTACAGGGCACATACCACCTCATGGCAGGGGATCCCGAGCTAATGGCTGCTCAGAGTTATGCTCAAACCAGAAATAATGGGCGCCCACCGCTCAGGACCCTGAATCCAGCAAGTAAGTGTTTAATTTTTAGTATTCTGGTTTTACACAAAAGTCTAGCAGTGGTGGAATAGGTAGGCTAGGAAAAGAAATACAGCAGCTTACAAACATGTAAGACATTTAAAATATCAGAGAGCAGAGCAACTAGAATTTGACTCCCAAGTTTAGTGGAGTTGACAAAGTACAAGATACTTGAGTGAGCATACTTTGTCCACCGCTCCTTTCTAGCAGTATTATTTTGCTTTTTTCCACAAAAGATTAATGCACATTTTTTGTAGTAAAAATCATTCATTTTTAATATTACAGATATTTCATTCATAAAAATTCATTCTAACAAATAAATTTTACACTCTTCTCAAACACATCCTGCATGAATTCTCAGATCTTGGCTGGGGGTTTCACAAGCTCTGTGCAGACTATAGTAGAGGCTTGTCTGAAACAGCCCGGATGGCTGAATGCACGTACTAATAATTTGTCTGTGATCCAAAGTAAACAAAAGAGATTATTGCACAGTATATTTTACTTACTACACAATGTCAACTTACACAACTTTCCTGTTTACCTTCTACCAACCTACTAATGTTCTCATCACTTTTCCTTTCTGGTGGCCTCGTAGTTCACAGAAGTGACTACACGTATAGAGAAAGGTATCACTACCACTACCAGCCACCAAGGATCCCTCCACCGGTAGTGTATCACCCCTTTCCTCCATCTCCACCAGTGACTTACCACAGACCCCCAGGCCCCATATCACCTTTTCACCACACATTCAAAGGCCCACATATGCATCACATACACAAAGCTGTCTCACCACCACTGGTTCATCATCCCCAACATGGGATCAAAGACCCGTTCCCTTACAAAGTGAAAGGTCTCTGCCCCTCACCTGTGGTACGCCCTCCAACTGAACCAGAACCGACAATTCTACCAACCCTGCCAGTGAGTACAGTGCCACCGGTGACTGCTGTGCCGCCAGGGAAGACCACCACTCCTGTGACGCTACCGGTCAGTACCCAAAGCGGCTTCATCACCACCGTCAGTCCTGTGCCGACAGGTAGAATATTACCAGTCAGGTTTGCTTTCCAAACCAACCAATGCTCTTTTTTTTCAGGTCAGATATTTTAGTTCCATTTCATCAGTGATGTTTATGTAAAGAGGTAAACACTCCAGAAATGATCTAGTTTAATGTATGTGTGTAAAACTGGACTGGCAGGGATTCTAACTGCCATTGACATGCCATTTTTCATGTGTTGGGCATCCTTTTCATTCAGGAAAATGACATGAAAGGATAAAGCATGTCTCTGATGGACTGTTGAATCCCTGAAATGATGCATAGTATGTAAAATAGCATACAGTATCATTTTAGAGGAACCACCGCGGCGATGCTCAATTGTTTCATTGAGTGCATCCCAAAGTATTCTTTCTTCTTTTGTGGATGAATAACTACATAATGACCTCAGAGAAAGTACAAATGTTTGTCTGAATAACGAACTGAATTTTTTTTGTATTATATCGATTTAATCCTGCCATGGTTTGATCACAGAGACAGACTCTCAGTGCAGAAGCCGTTCCCTGGACCTGGTCTTCATCATTGACAGCTCTCGCAGCGTGCGTCGAGGAGAGTTTGAGAAGGTTAAAATCTTTCTGGCCAACATAGTCGACACCCTTGAAGTGGGCTCAGATTCCACCAGGGTGGCTGTGGTCAACTACGCCAGCACGGTCAAGACAGAGTTCCTGCTCAAAGACTATTTTAGCAAACTAGACTTGAAGAAAGCCATCTCCCGCATTGAGCCTTTGGCGACTGGCACCATGACCGGCCTCGCCATCAAAACTGCAGCGAATGAAGCTTTCACCGAGCAGTCTGGAGCCCGGCCTCGTTCTAGGAATATCTCCAAGGTGGCCATCATCGTGACAGACGGGAGACCTCAAGACCAGGTGGAAGAAGTGTCTGCTGCAGCCCGGGGAAAGGGTATCGAGATCTACGCTGTCGGGGTGGACCGTGCAGACATGCGATCCCTTCAGCTGATGGCCAGCACCCCTCTGGAGGACCACGTCTTCTACGTGGAGACCTACGGCGTCATCGAGAAGCTCACGTCCAAGTTCAGAGAGACCCTGTGCGGTAGGACAAAGCCGGCCTGCAAGACCTTTTTCCATCATTAAGTCTGGGGGAGGCTTTTGTGGGTCATTGACAGTTATTGGTAAAAATGTGAAAAAAGTATTAGAACAGATGGTCTCAGCCCCCGTATGGACTGCAGATGTCAGCTCTAGAACGTGCTTGTAGTCGCCAATTTAAACCCACGGAAAATCTTAAGACTGTCAGCTTGTCTTTAAAAAGCGAAACGTTTATATGGTGATCATAGATTGATTATTTTTGCAAACAAAGCGTCCCGGTTCTCTGAATTTTTCCTTAGTCTGTGTTGAAAATAATTAAAACGTAGAGTAAAACCTCTCTACAAAACTTTTAAACATTTGGAAAGCTGATTAGAAAGCATTCAGATGAACATAAGTGAAATCCATCCATATAAGCTGATTTTATTCTTTTTGAAACATAAGAAACATCGAATTTTCAAAGTAAATTTATCAGACACAATGATCAACTATCAAAAACAGTTTGCTAACTTGTGTGACTGCTCTTCAATTACATTCGTGTACTAAAAGACAGATGTTGAAGGTTTGAAATGGATGTTTTGCTGTATTGTTTCTCCATATGTGTGAATTTGTGTGCGTCTGTTCGTTAACTGTCCAAACTGATGTGCTTTGTTATGTTACCTCAGTTGTCCAACACACAGCAGTTCACAGATGCGGTGAAGGTGTTTCCGCCACATGTGTGGTCAACTACAAATATCTTCGAAAAGTTTCCAGTCATACTTTTTTAACTTGTGCATGCAGAAAAAAATCATAAAATTCCAAAATGTGAAGTAAAAAATAGCTTCTATCTTTTTTTAGCATAGTCTTACGTTTCACAAGCTACCCACCTTGCTTGCACGCAAAAAACTGTACCCATGCTGCCATCCCTTAATCCTGGCTTATTCTAGGTGTGGACCCCTGCTCCATGGGACACGACTGCGAACACATTTGTGTCAACAGCAACGCCTCGTATTACTGCAAGTGCCGGAAAGGTTATATCTTGAATCCGGACAAGAAAACATGTTCCCTGAAACGTAAGATCATACTGTGTGGATTCCTGCAGCTCTTTGGTGTCATACTAATGCTGCTCAACAGTTTAAAGACGTGTAGATACCCAGCTTGGATTCTGATCAGGGCTTCATAACACTACAAAAATCCTGAATCTGTAGCAGATGGTTTTGTTTTTTTGGACAGTTTACATGAAATTGGTACTTTTCTGCCTTAAAAAGCTTCCATTCATTTAAGCTTTGTTTTGTTCTCCATCAGCAGTCTAGTGGGGGAAAGTGGCGTGGGTGGTGCTCTGTGTGCTTTTTCACTCTCTGCGTGATCTGTTACCCTGATGTGAAATTTGCTTTCTCCCGGCAAAGAGGTGAAGGTCGAGGTGGTGGAGGATCCCTGCAAATGCGAGGCTAGACTGGCTTTCCAGAAGCAGACGCAGGCAGCCATCCAACAGCTCGCAGCCAAGCATATCCAGTCTGTTGTTTCAGATGGATGACAGTTTATTATAAACAGTCTCTGCAGCTGACAGCTGATGGTTTCTTCGTGTTATTATTGTTACTGGTGTTATTGCTCCATTGTATAATTGTCAAAAAAAAAGTCCTTGACTCCTCAAACTTGCTGACGTGACTGGGAGAATAGAGCGTCTTGAGAACACGGTGGGCCGTGCCTGAAACTTTGCACGTAAGTAAGAGTCAGCGGCTTTTTCCTCCATGATTGGTAGTAAAAGGTTCCCACCCACTGGGAGCAATCTGACCTCCTGATTATTTATTTTCCGCAGAGCCAGATGACTTTTGTTGCTCCCACAGACTACTGCATCATGGGGAGGAACTTCCTGCGATCCACTCTAACTTCAACCACAGACTGAGAGAAGCGATGACTCACAAATCAACCCCCCAGGTTACTGACTGCTGAGCAACAATGTCTACAAATAAACTTTATTTTAACTTTTTATTGATGATTTTTTTCCCCCAAATCTACTGTAAATGTTACTTAAACTAAACCCCCAGGAGCATATTAAAATATATAGTAATCTAACATTTCTTTAATCTTTTTTTTCTATTTTGTATAAATGAATATTGTATATATTAGCCTGGTGCTGAATTACACGTAGCCTTAATAAATGTGCAACTTGAATTCAACTAAAAATACGGAATAATGAATATTTTCCCATTTATCGGGTGGTGACACAAACATGTATCATACCATATATATAGTAAAAAATTCCATTAAAATCTAATCTCATATTTGTACATTTGTTGTTGTATTATTTTTGAAATAATATTACATGATGCATTCTGTAAAATACATATTTTAAAAAATACAATTACTATCTAAGGATGTAACAGCGTTATAGTAAATTCTTTAAGTAGTAAAATTCTAGCTGATTGACTGAAAGATGGCATTTATTTTGTGAAAATATTTAGGATTATAACTCTGCATTCCAGAATTGTTACAGTTTTTGTAATATTTTTTTTAGTTTAGTTTAATTGTATTTACTTTTCAGTGTATTTTTCCTTGTTTAAGCGAAGCTTTTATTGTTTGGAAATGATTACCGGTAGTTTCATTGGTTTTAATGTTAGTTTTAGTCTTTTGTAGATGTTACTGTATGGAGGAAATATGCTAAATGTAGGAAAATGAACACAAATGTTACCAAAAAAACCCAGAATTTCTTTGAAAGCAGGTATCTTAATTAATAAACATGTCTGTTTAAGCCTCACTGCTCACTGCTTACCCAAAAAGATTACTGTAAATGAAGCCTGGCACTCAATGATTAAAAATCAAAATTAAAATTAAATGTATCAAACTGTCTCTGTAACTCTTCTAAAATTCATTCTAAGTCCTCTCAATGAACATCTATCTTCAAAAACTTGAAGGCATTTGGGAAAACATGTCTGCAGATACAAAAGAGTCTCTTACATAACTGTACATTTTTATGGCATACACATATTTCTATGTCAACTTAGAAAGGCAAATATGAAGGTAAAGCGCTAACATTTCTGTTTACAGTGCGCTGTAACACTGTTTGGCTTCACAGAACGGTAAAGATGTGTGGGGTCAGGGGGAAATTAGTTTTTAAACCTCTATTTTTTTTTCACTCAAACATCTTTGATAGTAACACAACATAAAGCAGGATTAAAGTCTACAGTTTGCTTCTCTGACTGCTCTGAGTTGAAAACTTTCTGGTTTTGTACCCTGCTATCTTTTACGCTTTGGCTGGTGCCAGAAAAACAACAGACAGAGGTCACCGTGTCACCTCTGGAATGACTCTGCAGCACAGACAACAGAGCTTCTCTGTCTGTGCTGTCTGTGTGAGTCAGCATGCCAACGTTTACCTCAGGTCTGCTCTGGATCCTCTCCCTCCCTCCTTTAAGCAGACAGCTGTTTTTGGTTTGTTTGCTATTTCAGTTCATAGTTACCACACACACACACACACACACAGGCACACAGAGGTGAGCCCACCAGTGTTTCGGGGGGGGGGGAAAGATGAATGGGACTCACATGCAACCGAGAAGAGGAAAAGACACTACAACGGATGTCTCTTCAGGAGGTTTAAATAGCAGAATCCTCTGCTTACATTCATTGATTACTCTGTTACTTTAACAGCTGCACATGTCCTCATTGAAATGCTTTTCTCGTGTCTCCTTATAATAAACCGTTTACCGTTTCTCACAAGTGTTAAGCTGGGGATGGTTTAAAGTAACCATATGTGCTCGTCAGAGGTGCAAAGCAGTGAACTCCCTGCTAGGTTTTTATTTTGGGAAGGGAAGTGTGAGGCCACTCTCATATCTACACACTAAATATTAAACAGCTTAGTATAAAACCTGGAAACAGGAAGAGAAGTGAAAATGACCATAATTTTCATGACCGAAAAAATTTGCCATCTGTCTCAGGCTCCAGAAATCAAATCAGCCTCATGGATCAGCCTCAGCCTCTTGTAATCACTAATCTAGACAATAACTGTTTTGTCATTAGAGCAATAAAATAAAAAATGGACTTTGACTTGTGTAACAGCCAAATCTCATGATAAACAGTCTGTTCTGTAATTGCGATCGATGTATCTGAATGTATCACAGTGCAGACTGAGAGTTTTACATCAGTTGCACTTCACACGAGCTCCACATTGTCAGCGTTTTTCATCAGACAATTTATTTTAAATCTACATTTCTATATCATGTTTGTGTTGTATGATGCGCGCACAGAAAGGTTTATTTTTATGTTGTTTGTTGCCACGGTTGCATTCATTTCTACTTAATTTAAAAATCTGCCAAATATGTAAAATACTCATAAAAGTGTAGACAGCTATATGTACGAATGGCACATATGTTTTACCTTCAGAGCGACTCTGTGCTGTAGTTCACCTTCAATAGGACCCTCTTATTGAAGGTGTGTCTTTCCTGGTTCTGTCAGTTCACAGTGATCTTGGATGTTTTGTGTTAATTCTCTCAGCAAACAGCAACATTTTGGGTGATGAGACTCGGCGTTGCTGAGATTTCTGAACATTATGTTTTCTTCATGATATTGCCGTCGAAATAAAACGGTTAAATCTTAAATAAAATGTGACAATTTAACACATAACCGCAAAGCCGACTTCTTCCTCTTGGATTCCTGTCATGTAATAATTTACAGTCACACTGACGTGAAAATTAGTATATTATATCCGTTTTCTCAGTAGTGTCAACAGACAGTGGCCTACATGCCCTTCCTCTGGTCCAAACTGTTTCTGTTTGATCCGTTTCAACTCGTCCACACAGTCTGGAGATAAATGGGCTGTAAAAGGGAAGTGCACAGCCTCTGAATGACCTTTAGCTCTTAGGGTGTAATTTGTTTTCAGCAGGACAGTTGACTTCTTCACCCTGGACATTCTTCCTTACAGAATTCCCTTCTTGTTGTTCACTGCAGTGAGAGTTCCCATTGTCTTGTTACTGGTGTTTGGGGTGATTAATAAGCAGTTTTTGTCTTTAAAATATAAAAAAAAAACGTCTTTAAAGATATGAAGCCTCTTGTTGGATTTCCTACTCAGATGCTTTTTATAGATATAATCAATATTATTTGCACTAACTGCATCATTTACTTTTTAAATCAAATCTAAGTCGAGTCTGACACCTGCTGTTAGAAAAAGAAAGCACAGTTTGGTTTTCACTCACATGGTGTTTTGTCTTCTGTAACATCCATCCATTTTACGCAACATATCCAATTTAGGTTCACATCCCAGCTGACATCACGGAAGAGGCGGGGTGTATCCAGGACAGGTTTCAAATCTATCGCAGAGCTAATACATAGAGACAGACAACCATTCACACCTACAGAAAGCCAGAGTTCCTGTAGAGAAGTCATGGAGACACAGAGAACATGGAAACTCCACACAGCCAGCTGGTGGATTCAAACCCACGACCTTCTTGTTATTAGGCGATGGTGCAGGTAGATAGTTTGCCCCCTGAGAGGCACAGTAAAACAATAAGAAGATAATCTCTCTTCCACAAATGTGTGTACACATGAAAAATCAAGAAAAACAGAGAAAGCTGTAGTTTAGTAGTTATTATGAGCAAAGAAAATAATATAGGAAAGGTGCATTTCTATAACAACTAAATGAAGAAAATGGGAGAGAGAGGAGAACAGATGGAGAAAGGTTAGTAAGGAGGGGGTGAGGGCATCTATGAAGAGGATGGAAAGGGGACAGGCAGGTGGTCCTGATGGCACACCAGTGGATTTTTAACAGGTTGTTTAATGCAATTATTGGGAGCGATCGGATGCCTGAGGAATGAGGAAGGTGTACTGGGACCAGTTTTCAAGAACAGGGATGATGTGTAGAGCTGTAGTAACTACAGAGGGATACATGAGCCATACCATGAAGACATGGCAAAGTATTATTAAAGGTGACAATCAGTGAGCAGCAGTATGGTTTCATAATGTGAAAGAGCACTACGGATGCAATGTTTGCTTTGAGAATGTGATGGAGACATACAGAGATGGTGCTTCACTGTGGCTTTGTGGCTCTAAAGAAAGCATGTCATGGGGTGCCAAGAGATGAGTTGCGGTACTAGATGAGGAATTCAGGAGTGACAGATAAGTATGTCAGAGTGGTACAGGACATGTATGAGGACAGCGAGACTGTGGTGGGGTGTGCAGTAGGACAGACAGGTTCAAGGTGGGGGTGGTATTACATGAGGGAGATGCTCTGAGAAGCTTCAGAAAGTGGTGATGGACAGGCTGACAGATGAGGTCAGGCAGGAGTCTCTGTGGACAATGCTGTTTGTAGATGTCAAATCTGTAGTGAGAGTAGGGAAGAAGAGGGAAGAGGAATGAAAGTCAAGCAGAAGACCTGTTTGTGAATGATAGAGTAGAGACAGCGAAAGTAAATGAGTTTCTATACCTTGGATCAACCGTCCAAAGCAATGATTAGTGCACAAGACAGACAAAGTTGATGGTTTGGACATGTATAGAAGATAGAGATTAGATGAAGGATGTTGGCTTTATAAGGAGCTGCCAGGCAGGAGGGAAAGAGGAAGAGCATAGAGAATGGTGCTTCGTAGTATTCAAAACAATAAAAACGATTTTATTATTTTATTTTTTCTTACTAATAAAGGTTTTAAAACTTTATTCGTGTTTAGTTCCATGAACCCTCACTGATCTACGCCGACATGTGAACCACGCTATGATTGGACAGTTTGTAGTGCAACGTCACATCCGCAGGTGAAAAACAAGAAAACCTTTCGCACACATGGAGGAGAATAATTCCCAGATACTCGAAAAAGCCCACGCTGAGTTTAAAAGGGAGAATTTTAAAATGGCAGAAGAGCTGTACACAAAGTTTATTTCTTCCTGCTTACAGTCCAGGTATCGTCATTTTATTCTGGAGACGCTAAAGGCTAGCTGTTGTCGTTTATAACATGGTGGTGTTACGACACATTCTGTTACACATTAAATTTTGTGACCCGTTGTCGCTAACTGCTAGCTAATTTCAGTTCCCTTCCTCTCTCTCATGTTCACATTTAACTGTAGCCATGATTTTAAAAGGGGGTTTTAACTGTGTTATATTTGAACAGGGAATGTGAAGCAAGCAGTTTAGCAACTGCTTATAACAACCGCGGGCAGATAAAGTACCTCCGGGTGGACTTTCGTGAAGCGGTGGATGACTACACCTCTGCGACACAAGCTGACAGCCAGTTTGAAGTGCCTTTCTACAACAGAGGGCTAATTCATTATAGACTAGGTAAGAAGAAGCAACAATTAAGCGACAGACAGCTCGCAGCAGCAAGCCAGTTCACATCAACAGCCAAAAAACCCCACCTCAGCTTCCGCCCATTACCTTCAAAATAAATGTCTGTTTCTCTGCTTCGTTTTTATTAACCTCTGTAGGTCCTATTTGAAAACAGTCCACTAAAATGTAAATAAGAATCACAAATGAATAATGACAGAAGTAATTCACCCATTGTATACCATATAAAGAAATATAAGCACACACTGTGTATTTATATGTGTGAGGTCAACATATAGGTTGAACATCTCCATTATAGCAGACTTGCCTGTGTTTCCTCATAATCATCATCTGAAACACAGATGACACTACGTCTATTAGAAGAATGACATTACTCCTTCCAATTGCGTTGAAAAGGTGTTTTAAACTATTTTGGCTAGACAGTATTTATGATACAAGTACAAGTCAGGATTTTAGATCCAATCATAGCACAGAAACAGCTGTTATCAAAGACTCACAGAGAGTTTTGTGTTTCAGGTAGTACATTTAGATCTGCAAAAATAAAAGCTCGGAGGTTCCTCCGTTCTTGGTCCATTATTCTGACATGCTCCTGCTTGGTACTATCATGAAGGATCATTATATATCCTATCACTTTTATGCATATGATACACAGCTGTACCTACCTATTTATCACCCTTTTCTCCGAAACACTTTGAAAAAGACAGGAGCCATGTTATCATTTTGATCTCAGTTTCGATCGCTAATTAGCATAATGTGCTTTCTACGCTTAAATATATATCAATAGTTAGAAAAATATCATCTCAAACTGACTCTTAGAAATGGGTCCGTGCATTCATATCGAGTAGGTTAGACTACTATAACGCTCTATTTGTAGGATTATCCAAATCATTAGTAGGACAACATAAACTCATTCAGAATCTGGCAGCCAGAACATTTACACGTATACACAAATTTTAACATATTGTCACAAAATGTGGCTTAAAAAGAGATGTGATGATCTGTGGATGGCTGCACCTCCACTGAAAACTAAAGCTGATTACAAGAAAGGACAAAGACAGCAAAGGCAAAAGACATTGTATATAAGAATAAATGCAAGACAGTAGAAACAGTAAAGGCTTCTGAAATCGTCAACTGTTATCCTGTAACTGTTTGGTGCTTTCTTTTCTATGACACTAGATGGAGCTGCGTATTTGCACTTGCAAAGGGTTGTGGCAACTTGCCACAACCCTTGTGCTTTTACTGCTGACTCTTTAAAATCCAGCCTAGAAGTTTATTATAAAAGATACCCTTATATTTAATATGTATTTACAATTTTTATTATGTTACAGGCTTTTTTGACGATGCCAAGAGTGATTTCCAGCAGGCATTAAAGCTCAACCCGGATTTTGAAGATGCCAAAGTGAGCCTTCAACAGACACTTCTGGACCAGGAGCACAAGATAAACAGGGGATACTGACAGCTTCTGAACCTACATGTCACGTGTAACCTCTAATCCTGCTGATAACAAAATGTACACCAGTGCACTTAATATCAATAATTGTCCAACTGTTTTTATTCGCTTGTCATTTTTTTGTTTTTAAATATAAAATCATTTGCACAAAGAAAGACAGAGCTGAAAATCAGAGGATAATTGATCTGATGAAGCAGACGTCCCACTGGATCAGGGGTCACAGATGATGGATTTTTTTTAAGACGAGCATTAATATTCCTTTTTCACACCGACTCAAGCTCCTCTCAGTTAGTGAAAAATTGATATCCCTTTATAAAGGGCCGTATAAGACTGTGACTGGACACTGCAGACTTATCGACCGATCAGGTGAAAGCTTGATAAATGTTGAAGCCCCCTGTTGAAGGTTGTAGGAGAGGCTTTGTGACTTTAAATGAACCCTAATCAGAAGCTGACATAAAATAATAATGAGGAATGTCTCAGCTGCATAAAGCACACTTTGTGTCCTAAATTGAAGCTCAGACACAGCTTAAGTTTTAATACAACAAGGTGATGTGGTTTTAAAGGAAGGAAGTCAGCAAATATAGAAACAACAAACATACACAGAAGACAATATAAATATAATATAGACAAATGTAAATAGAATCACAAATCAATGACAATAAATTTTTTAATGACACATGTCTGTCTCGCGCTTGCTTATTCACACAAATACAGATTTTGTGATGTCCTACGAGAAGCAAAGGCATCATAAGTGGAGCCTCCCCACAGTGAGTGAGGCAGGAAGCATCACTGATGCGTTTCACCTGTGCAGAGGTGATTACCTGCTGTATAAAACAGCTGCTGACGCCTGAGTGAAGCAGTCAGCTCTTTTGTGTCAGAGCTGGTTTGTTGGTGGTAGGTCTTGCTGGGGGTTTCAATGCCAAGCTCTGGTTGTGGTTGGTTTCAGTAAATTTTTGTTTTTGCATGGTTACATTGACACTGCGACATGTGGCGGCTTAAAAACATGTAAGTTTAAGTTAAGTCTTGTTTAGTTTTCTGACAGTTACTCTAATTTTTCTAAAATGTGCATTTTTTTTTCTCCCCCTTCAAGTTTATTATGGAACTTGACGGCTGCAGTAATTGTTTTAGGTCAAGCATGGCCAAATACGAAGCTCGCTTCACAGTCAAGTAAGACTAACTCGTTAAACTACTCCAGATCAAATTGAGGCTACACTACCTGACCATCGTCTTCTTTCACAGGCAGTGGTTTAAAGGCAGACTGTTTAGGAAATCTAATGAGGCTGTCAATGGACGAGGCTTTAGCAGTGGGGAACCAGCTTGTAGTGGAAGCCATCAGTGAGTTAAAGGGCTAATTGGGAACAGGCTGTGTCATTGCTTTGAGAAGAGATCCCTCATGTTTGCATGTCATCTCCAGATGGCACCCAGTGTGTCTTGTTGACACCCACCTTGGCTGCTCAGTGTGGGTACAGCATGGAGTCTGACCCCTGGGGTAACACAAGAATCTACACGTCTCTGATGGGCTGCTTTGTGGACAACAAGGTATGTTGAGCTGAGGTGGAACTTTTTTCTTTCCAAACATTACAAATTTAAATATCACCTAGATTTTACTTCAACCTTCCATTTAATAGAAACCTTAAAATTTTAGGTCTGCAAGTTTTGCAATTTTGCAAAGGAGTACAGGTAATAGTGTATCGGGAACAGACTGTCAGGGGGAACTAACTGCTTACACTCTTCTCTTATAGGATGATGCAACATTTAAAATTGGCTTGAAACTCCAAATGTACAGCCAGAGGCCATCAGATGTGGTAACTCATGAAGTGAATCAAACGTGCAGCTACACTCGCTGGGCCCCTAAAGAGATTCTCTGTGACAGGAACTACATGGAAGTGGGTTACGTAACACTGCCAGGTTTACTTTAATACTTATGCCCTTCAAACTCTTCAATTAGCTTTGTCTTGTCTTCTAGGTGTCAAACTACTTGATGAAAGCTAATCCACAAACTAAGCGGCCGGCTCAGGATCAAAATGTTGACTCATATCTGCTTGAGGTGCCTAGATTATAGAGTTAAGAAAATTACTAAATGCAATTCAATGAAGGCTCAAAATGTTCCATTTTGCTGCAGGACTCTGGTGCATCACATGGTATCTGGAAGATGACATTTTTCACCCCTGAACCAGTGGTAATGGTGCCAAGGGAGGCTGAACAAGCTGGCTACAGTGCAATGACTACCTCTAACAGACTGATTATGCGAAGCCCTTACAATACACCAGAGACCTTCTCAGAGGATGTAAGGATTACTTCATAATGGATAATTATTTCTGGTAATTAAAAATGACAGTAAAGTCCATATTTTTTTTATTATTTTTTTCCTTAAGGTGGCTGGAATCCCCATGGAAGTCTTAAAGGTGAGCGTCTACAACAAGGCAGAAAGTGGTCTGGGTATCGTGAACTTGGCAGCAGCTTGTCCCACAGGTGAGCATCAAACCTTCTTCACAGTAAGCATTAAAGTGTAGCATTGTCAAGAAGTTGCTTCCTCTCTTCTAGGGGGCGTACTCTTCACTGAGAGTGTGATCTCTTGGTACATCCCTCGCCGCATGACCCCTCTAATGGACGGCACATTCAGAATTGTAGAGATGCACATGGGCATCAATGGGCAGAGGCTGGATAGGTCTCAGATGGCTGCGAGAGGGTACACACTATCCACCACAGACTTTCACATTGTTGCCGAGATCCCAGTGGGCTCACCCGATGGTTACTACAAGGTCTGGAAATCTACCTCAACATGCAACTTGTGTGTTTGTATGTGCGTTTTATTAAAATGCTATAAATAATTGCAGAGTCATGCCCCAGAATACCAGTACTATGTCACCTACACTGTGGAGCCAATGCTCGAGGTACTCTGGAGGGCAGATGGGACCCAAGATGATATAAAATACAAGGTTTTGTTCCCCATTACAACGCCTCTGATGCCCAGACCTCCCCATGTGGAAGATTGTAAGTCCCACTTAAAGGTAAAGAACTGAAAGTCGAGCCTGCAGAAAAAGCCTAAACGTGTGGCTTGTTCCTCAGATACGGTTCCAGAGGACGGTGTGTTTAGCGTCATGTTGGGGGGCTTCTTTCATGATGTGGAGCTGAAGAACATCACCTTTGTTACTGGTGTTCTCACTGTGGAGGAGAGCAATGCCAGAGGCCTGATTGTCCAGGAGCACATCTACACCAATGGCACAAAGGGCTTCTCTTTAAAAGTGTCCTTCGATGCCGATGTTGTCCTGAAGACCGTATGTGGCCAACTATTGGCAATTGCACTAAAGATTGTATTCCAACTGCCAACATAACTTTTTTTTCTCCCCCCCTTAAGAATCCTGAACCCTTGATTACAACCTACTCTCTCCCTTTGACCGTTGGGCTGATCATCCTGCCTGATGGAACTTCCTTTGCTCATGAGGTGACACTGCAGGCATCTCTGCAGGATGTTGGTGAGACTCTTTTCTAGAATTGCACATTGAGCTTTGAACTCCAGATGATTGACTTTTCTTTCCCTTGCAGTGCTGCCTGCACTTACTGGCACCTGTGATCAGAAGCACTTTTACGTCAGGGTGAAATATGGCAGTCAAGACCGTAATTTTGAGACCGCGGTTGGAATGCGACAGCTAACCCCCGACCTGGCTAAAGCCTACAAGCTGCAGGAAAACCGCACACACTTGATCCTCAGAGTGCCCTACAATGCCCAAGACTCAAACTTTGAGGTGTGTATATAACATGACTCTTTGAAAACCTTCCAAGCACAGACAGGAAAAGCCCTGTAAATGCCAGTCTCCTTAGGATCAGAATTAAATGTGCTCTGAACATTTTCTTGCAGCTGGTTTCCTCAGTTTCCATCCAAGCCAGACTTGACATCGTGCTCTGGGAACCAAACAATCAGTGGGTGCTTGGTGACCTCTCCCTGGCCTGCAGCTTTCCCTTGATGACAACTAGTAAGATTTGATCACTTAAACTACTCATTAAAATAACAAACGCAATCATAATAATGTGTACTTTCTTCAGAATGCTATCCTAATGGAACAATAACAGCAGTGGCTGTGAAGCTGGAATCTGTGCCCAGTCTCGTCCCAAGTCAGCTAACATTGAAGGACCGGTCTTGTAGACCAGTTTTCAGCAACGATCGCTTTGCCCACTTTTCTTTCTCTGCAGATTCATGTGGAACAAGTAGAACAGTACGTTTACAGACCTTTATCAGTTGAAAGTGCCTTTTGGGAAATGTGTTAATCAACTTGTGTTTTTTGTTTTAAGTTCTTTGACAACTACATGGTTTATCAAAATGAGATCAGCCTGTATCATAAGGTGACAGTAAAAACCTCACCTGCTGAACCTGGGTACAGGTAGGTAGACCTGACCTGACCAGTGAGTTATCCTGATGAACTGCTGATTCAAAGTTTAAAATGTGGTGGTTTTTCCCCCATCCTGTTTAGGCAAACCATCTACTGCTACTACATGGTCAACAAAACACAAACTGTTGCATTCAGTCACAAACCAAGGAGCGATGATCCTAGAGCAGAAATTGGGACAGGGCTGCTAATGGTGCAAATGAGGCAAGCCCAGGGTAAGTCTGACAGTCGGTTTGTTAAAAGGTGGAGAATTTGACATCTGTTCTCTTTAGGTGTATACACCGCCTTAGAGTTCTAATTGAGCTTCTCTTCCAGATGCTGCTTATCAGCACTTTTACAAAGCTGAAGATTATCCACTGAAGAAATACCTGAGAGACCCCCTGTTTTTTGAGGTGGTGCTGATGCAGTCAACAGACCCCCAGTTGGAGCTCATCGTGGAGAACTGCTGGGCTACTCTTCAAGAAGACAGGACATCTGTACCCCAATGGGACATCATTGTGAACAGGTGATGGCATAAGTAAATGCCAAAGTGGAAAATCTCCACTACTTCAACTATGTAGTCCAGCTAACTTTGCCATAGTCTAGAGTGGGTGGTTAATTCACTTGGAAAATGAGTCTTCATGGTACATTTAAATTATATATTTTTCTCACTAGTTGTGAGAATCGCGATGACACCCATGTGACAGTCTTCCATCCAGTTAAGGATAATATTGCCATGCCATCCCACCTCAAACGCTTCTCTATGAGGATGTTCACCTTCACCAATAACAACGAAGTTCTGAGAGATCAGGTGATTCAGGCAATCAGTCATAGGGCGTCTAATGCAATACTGTATCAATGTGTGCTTAACCTTCCAGTCTCCCCACAGATCTATGTGCACTGTGATGCAGTGATTTGTAATACAAATGGCCCACCAGATGGCATCTGCAGAGGCCAGTGTGTGCATCCCACAGGCACAAAGGGCACTAAATTTCAAGGACTCAAAGGTGCTAAAAGGGGTAAGTGTTAATGGTGTAAGTAAGACTGGGACAAACTTCAAGTTTGAAGTGCAGTTGGTGACTTTTTTCTTTCCCATTTGCAGAGCAAAGAAGTACAGAGTCAACCCACCAATGGCAGCTCTCCTCTGGACCCATCCTACTTTCAAATTGATATTTCAATAAAAATAAATCTTAAGCTATATGGTGTTTAAGCTTTTCAATTTGTAAGCTGGGTCATGACTGTTGTAGATGCAGGCCTCAAGTTCTAAACTGGTCTGACATCTTTAACTGGCTATAACGAGGCCTCAAATGTAAACGTATCAGTTTAATTAAAACGATGCCACTTGAATTTGCATATTGCACTTGTCTGAACTCA